AGAAAGAGTTGGAATGAATCTTCTGCTAGAACGTGGAACCGTATGCCGCCATATGTTTTGTCTTTTGTGCAAGTAGTGACGAGTGGAGCAAGGCCTTTAGGGCTGCTGCTCGTAGGAAAACGAAACAAAAGAAAAGAGAGAGTTACGGTAGCGAGTAGTTGTAACTTGTGACCCATAACTGCTGGAAAGCAGACCTGACTTCGGATCTAGAACATATATTGCTGGCCTGCTCCACTCTCACATGAAATTTGTCGAACGTCTCTTGAGATGTTGGACCCTTGCAGATGCACTGCTGGGTCCTTCGGGAAAAAGACTATTCAATAAGGAATACGTGGGCCGATTTTTTTTTTTCTTGTACTCCTCTGCCGTCCTCCTCTCTTCTTGTCTTCCTCCTCCTCGTCTCCTCCCCCTCCTCCTCCTCCTCCTCCTTTTTGGGTTATTTATTTTTTGTTTGGTCCACTTCCCCATTAATGTGTGTCATCTTGGCGCAGGGGCCATGCTAATCTTGCCCTTGGGATATTCATTAACATTGGAAGGAAAAGATTAGCATGGCCCCTGCACATGGATGACATGCTTTAACTGAGAAGTAGGAGTAGAGGTGTTTTTTTTTTTTTTTTCGGACAATACAGGGGATCCGGACCAAGGGTCCGGAACGGTCCGGAAATTCTGGAATATTTCGGTTTTTTGGAAGTCTGGATGGGCCCGGGAGGTCCGGGGTCCGGAGTCGGTCTGGGGTCCGGTCCGACGTAGCTATAAAAATAAATAATAAAAATAAAGAAAGAAAGAAATAAGCAAAAGGTGAGAAGAGAAAAAATATTTACTTTTTTGGTTCTAACCCAATGGGGTCACAAAGGTGCAAAGAGGAAGGAGAGACTCAGAAAAGCACACTAAGTTTTACAACGCTACAAATTATAATTTTCAAAAAAAAATTTAAATAAATAAGTAGATGAGGAGGTGAAGAAAAACTAAGTGTTGGATTTCAGCAGCGTTTCATTACCCCCATGGGGTCGAAGTGTATCGTCAAGAAGAAAGGTTAAGTAAAATGAGAAGATTTTGCCATCACTTCGCTACCCCAAAGGTGTCAAAACGTGCTAAGTAAAATGAGAAGATTTTACCAGCACTTCGCTACCCCCAAGGGGTCAAAATGTGCTGAAAAGACTAAGTATGAGAAAAGACAAAAAAATTCTGCAGCACTTCGTTAACCCCATGGGGTCAAAATGTGTGTCGAGAATGACTAAGTCCTAATCAGACTTGAGGGTGCCACAAAGAAATTCAAATTTCCAGAATAAATAAACAATAAAATAAAATAAACCAGAAAATGAGAAAAGAAGGTGGGGAATAAGATAATTCGAATTTTTTGGGGAAAAAAAGAGGAGATTTAAATCAAAGAGAAAAACAAAAGAAGAAAAACAAAAAAAAATCGAAGTTGGGGGGGGAGGGGGATGAAGAGTGATGAAGAAAGAGAGAAATAGGTAAGAGAGAGAGGAAGAGTGAAGTGGGAGATGGGGGAGATGATGGGGTTGTAGTTGGGGGGAAAAGAGGAAAAGGAGGGTGGTCGAATGGGAGAGAAGGATATGGAAAAGGTGGAGAGGAATAGATGACATTAGTAGACGATGGTGAGTGGGGAGGAGAGGAGAGAAAAAGGTTGTGGAAGATGAGTGAAGAGTGAGGGATGAGGGAGATCAGTAGGAAAGTGGGGCGATAAGTGAAGAAAAGAGGAGAGGAGAGTGAGAAATGGTGAAGGATTAGTGATACAGTTAGAAAGAGATAAATAGAGGATGAAGAGGAGAGAGAGCAAAGGGGGTGAGGGAGTAGATTAGTGAAGGAGAGATGATATCACGCTCTTGGGTAGCTGAGAGCAGAAAAATCACCAAGGTTCAATGGATCTTGGCCTTCAAGCTACCCCTTGGAAGAAGGGGTCTTCAAAATATTGCGAAGATGGCAGCACGATAGAAAGATCTGATCAGACTGATCAGATCTGCAAAGTAGAGGGTTTGGGAGAGATCTTGATTTCCCAAACTCACTCTCTCCACTTGTAGTGCAACCCCCTATCTAGGGGGGTCTTGATTTTCTGCACAACTGTTGTTGAAGCAGTTGGATCTGATCAGAGAGGATCAAATCTACCGAAAACAAATAATAATAGCCTTCAATGTAGAGCAGCCCCCTAGCCAGGGGGTTCTTCAACTGCTGTCACTTGACACTCTAATGGTCACAGGAAGGGAGAAAGGAGAGAGAGGGAAAATCCATGGTAACCGTCCGGACGTCCGGACCCGGTTCCAGACAGTCCGGAGCCAAATGTCGGGGTCCGGTGTCCGGTACCGAAGGTCCGGAGATAGGGACCCAAGCTGAAAATCAAAAAAAAAAAAGGGCCAGCCCCGGACGCTTACCGTGTCCCAGGCGCCCTCTGAAAAATAGTGGTCTGAATTTTCAGGCATGATTGGGCCTACCGGACGCTACCGGACACAGGTGGGTCAGGGTGGGTGTTCTGTTGAGTGGTTGGCGGGGTGATTTCGATTTTGCCATTTTCGAATCCCCCGACCTTCGTTGCTGCCAGCTCCCTCGTGACCCCCGCCCGTCGTTGCTGCCAGGTTCCTCATGTGTGGCATCTGCCGAAGGCGTCGCTGAAGCCATTGCCAACCAGCCGCAAGGAGTCAAGCCATCGCCGAACCCATCGTCGAGCAGCCGCTGCTAGGAGTCGCAGCCAGCCGCCCTCAGACGACGACGACGCCAGCTTGCCAACAGGTCGGTCTCTCTCTCTCTCTCTCTCTCTCTCTCTCTCTCTCTCTCTCTCTCTCTCTCTCTCTCTCTCTCTCTCTCT